CTATGCTACCAGAGCTCCATCTTTAATATAGTTGAGGTAATATTCTCAGATTTAGTCTGTTAATCAGGAATTACTTTCACTTTAACTTTTATCCTTGTTGAAATAGATTTGAAGTGCATAGCTTGTTATTGAAAGCTGTATTGATGTCACAGAAAACTGTCTTCTAGTAGAGATATTCTGGACTGTTGTGAAAATAAATCACTGAATTGAGAATTTTGAACTCTGTCTTACGGAACTCAAATATTTATGGTCACCCTAATTATTAGAGAAAAATGATGTTGAAAGCATACTTACAGATCATGTGTCCTGGATTCCCATCCATTTATATCTGAAGTTTGGAATATCTATAACATTTAATTTTTGAATTTTTCACCTTTTCCAGAACATACAATACAGAGGAGGCCAATATTTAAAGACACTATTAAGGATTCAGGAGCTCTGGTGGTGTAGTGCCTAAGGCATTTGACTGCTAACCAGAAGGCTGGTGGTTCAAACCCACCACCCACTCCTTGGAAGGAAGGTTGGGCAATGTCCTTCCATAGTGATACCGTCTCGGAAACCCAAGGAGGGGTCACGATGAGTTGGATCCGACGTGACAGCAGTGTGTTTGGTTTGATACTTTTGTATTAAGGATTCAGAGCAAATGATTATTTTGCGTGTTCTTAGAGAGCTCAATAGGTAAAAGACTAGTAGTAATTTATTAACCAAGTAATCAGAAGCACTTAATATTCAACCAACCAAATATGTTTCACTTAATGTAAACTTTTTTTGCTTTTTGCTTGATTGCCTGAAAACCTTCTGAATAAGATTTTCCCTTATAAATTTGAACATAATAACACCCCTGACCCTTCACCTTTCCTTGTTAGGTTACATTCTATTCTTTTTTTTTTTTTTCCCTGTCTCTTTCCCTCCCATGGACTCCCATTCCCTCAGCTATCTCCCTCTGTAAACACTGCCCTTCCTTCTGTTCTCCCGTGATTGATCACTTCAAGGACTGTATCTTCCTGATGTAAATGTTCAGCCCATACACCTGTCTGTTATTTGGCTGGAAGCCACAGGAGTGAGTTCAATTCCAGACCTGAGGGGTGACTAGGGGGCATAGTCTCAAGGGTCTAACTAGGCTCTATCAGACCAGCAAACCTGGTCTCTTTTTTTATTATTTTGAGTTTTATTCCACATTGTTCTCCCACTCTATCCAGGATCTCCTGCACCAATCTCCCTCTGAGTGGGTAACAGTGTTAGCCAGATACCATCTAGTTCTTCTGGTCTCATGGTCATAGAGGCTGGGGATCACGTGGTCTACCAGTCCCTTAGATTAATTGTTTCCATGCATCTCTGGTTTTCTTCATTCTTCTTTGCTCTGGGCAAGGAGAGACCCATCATTGCATCTAGATGGCCACTTGCAAGCTTTTAAGACCCCAACCACTACTCACTAAAGTAGGATGTAGAATAATGTTTTTGGGTAGTATGTTAATGCCAATTGAGCTTGATGTCCCCTGCAACCATGGTGCCAAGCCCACAGATCCAACTACTCCAAGTAGCTGGCTGTGGCCAGGAAACCACCACAGCCTTGTCCCTTGTCAGCTCTACTATGCACCTGCACATTCTTACAGCAGATACAAATATGCCTGTAGAAACATTCTCTGGTAACCCTATACATGGTCATGGGCACACTCCCTCCTGCCTAGACACACCTGATCGTTCAGCCTGTCCACACTTCTATCCACCCATGAATCAATGCTTGCCGTTACTGAGAACGCAGTACTGTACATGGAGAAAGGTTCATCTTTGTTGTCTGTACCTCCCATGTACCTTCTCTGTCTTCCTCTTCCTTAATGCCACAGTGTTGATCACTCACGTTTGGTACATTGCCCTTCCCTTCCCTGAAATCGATACTTGTCTCTACCTACTTAGCAGTGTTCCCTCTCTTCCCACCCCCGGTAACCAACTAAGAAAGTTTCCTTCCATATATAAAGTTTTTCTTGACTTTTTACAATGATGAACTAATATAATATTTGTCCTTCTGTGATTGATGTATATATATCATTCAGCATAATGTCCTCCAAGTTCATCCACATTATGTGGTGTTTTGTAGATTCTATATTATTCTTTAGTGTTGCATAGTATTTCATTGTGTGTATGTACCATAGTTTGGTCATCCATTCTTCTGTTGCTGGGCACCTAGGTTGTTTCTATCTTTTTGCTATCGTAAATAGTACTGTAATGAACATGGGTATACATATATCTGTTCTTGTCCTGGCTCTCACTTCTTTAGGATATATACTTAGTAATGGGATTGCTGGATCAAATGGTATTTCTAATTTCAGCTTTCTAAGGAATTACCATACTGCTTTCCCCAGGGGTTGTATCACTTTGCAGTCCCACCAGCAGTATATGAGAATCCCAATCGCTCCACATTGTTGCCAGCATTTGTTATTTACTGTCTTGTTGAGCTTTGCTATTAGTGGGAGGGTGAGATGTTATCTCATTGTTGTTTTGATATACCTCTCTCTAATGGCTAATGATTGTGAGCATTTCTTCATGTGTTTGTTAGCTGCCTAAATATCCTCTTTGGTGAAGTGTCTATTCATGTTGTCTGCCCATTTTATAGTTGGATGGTTGGTCTTTTTGTTGTTGAGATGTTAGAGTTTTCTATAAATTTTAGAGATAAGTCCCTTGTCATATGTCATTGCTGACTATTTTTTCCCAATCTGTAGGGTCTCTCTTTATTCTTAAAGAAGTCTTTAGAAGCACCAAAAATTTTGATTTTCAGAAGGTCCCATTCATCTGGATTATCTTCTGCTATTTGTGCACTTTGGTTATGCTTGATAGTCTATTTATGCCATAAATTGTTGTTGTTGTTGTTATGTGCCATTGAGTCGGTCTCGACTCATAGCGACCCCTCCCCTGTTTTTTTCCTTGAGGAACTTTATAGTTTTAGGTTTTGCATTTAAGTCTTTGATCCATCTGGAGTTAGTTTTTGTGTATGGTATGAGATATGGATCTTGTTTCATTTTTCTGCAAATGGATATCCAGTTTTAACAGCATCATTTGTTAAAGAGACAGTCTCTTCCCCATTTAATGGATTTTGGGCTTTTGTCAAGAATCGGCTGACCATAGGTTGATGGATCCATTTCTAGGTTCTCAGTTCTGTTCCACTGGTCTGTGTGTCTGTCGTTGTACCTATACCAGCCTGTTTTGACTACTGTAGCTGTATAGTAGGTTTTGAGATCCAAAAAGTAGGAAGTGTGAGACTTCCTACTTTGTTGTTCTTCAGTAGTGCTTTGCTTATCTGAGGTCTCTTTCCTTTCCATATAAAATTAGTGATTGGTTTTTCCATATCCTTAAAGAATGTTGATGGGATCTAGATTGGGATTGCATTGAATATATAGATTTCTTTGGATAGTATCGACATTTTCACAATGTTCAATTTTCCTACCCAGGAGAATGGTGTGTTCTTTCATTTATGTAGATTTCTTATAGTTTCTTAAAGCAGTGTTTGGTAGTTTTCTTTGTACAGGTCTTTTGTGTCCCTTTTATTCCCAAGTATTTTCTTTTTTTGGTGGCTATTGTAAATGGTATTGATTTCCTTATTTCCTTTTCAGCAATCTCTTTATTGAATATAGAGGAATCCACTTGACTTTTATTGGTATAGAGGAATCCATCTGATTTTTGTAGTTTTGTTAATTTTATATCCTGCTACTATGCTAAATCTCTCAATTAGTAGTGTTTTTCCTGAGTCTCTTGGGTTTTCTAGGTATAGGATCATATCATCAGCAAATAGGGGTAGTTTTACTTCTTCCTTACCAATTTGTATTCCTTGATTTCCCTTTCTTGCCTTCTTTCCCTGGTGGTGTAGTGCCTAAGGCATTTGGCTACTAACCAGAAGGTTGGTGGTTCAAACCTACCAGCCACTCCTTGGAAGAAAGATTGGGCAATCTACTTTCATAGAGATACCACCTTGGAAACCCAAGGAGGGGTTGCAATGAGTCGAAATGCCTGGACAGCAGTGAGTTTGGTTTTTGGTTAGGACTTCCAATACAGTGTTAAATAGAAGTGATGATAGAGGACATCCTTGTCTGGTTCCTGTTGGCAAGGGGAATGATTTCAGTCTCTCTCCATTGAGAATAATATTGGCTTTTGGTTTTGCATATATGCCTTTTATTATGTTGAAGAATTTCCCTTCTATTCCTATTTTTCTGAGAGTTGTTATTAAGAATGAGTATTGGATTTTATCAAATGCCTTTTCTGCCTCAATTGATATGATCATGTGGTTCTTTTCCTTTGTTGTTTTATTTATGTGTTGGATGACATTGATTGTTTTTCTAATGTTGAACCATCCTTGCATACCTGGTGTGAACCTCACTTGGTCATAATGAATTATCTTTTTGGTATGTTGTTAGAGTCTGTTGGCTAGGATTTTGTTGAATATTTTTGCATCTATACTCATGGCATATAACAACAACAACAACATTCATGAGGGATATTGGTCTGTAGTTTTCCTTTTTAGTGATATCTTTGTCTGGCTTTGGTATCAAGTTTATACTTACTTCATAAAATGAATTTGGGAGGATTCCATCATTTTGTATGAGTAGGATTGGTATCAGTTCTTCTTTGAATGTTTGGTAGAATTCTCCAGTGGAAACCGTCTGGGTCAGAGGCTTTTTTTGTTGTTAGTAATTTTTTTATAACCTGTTCAATTTCTTCTTTTGTTATGGATCTGTTCAAATTTTCTACCTCAGTCTGTGTTTAGGTAAGTAGTATGTTTCTAGAAACCTATCCATTTCTTCTAGATTTTCAGATTTGTTGGAGTACAGTTCTTCATGTTGTTGTTGTTGCTATGTGCCATCTAGTTGGACCTGACCCATAGCGACACTCCTTGGGTTTCTGAGGCGGTATCACTGTGGAAGTAGATTGCCTAACTCTCCTTCCAAGGAGTGACTGGTTGGTTTGATCCGCCAGCCTTCTGGTTAACAGTCAAGTTAGTATCCTGATATTATCCTTTTTATTTCAGTTGGTTCTATTGTTACATCACCCAGTTTGTTTCTTTTTCATGTTATTTGTGTTTTCTCCCTCTTTTCCTTTGTTAAATTTGCCAGTGGTTTGTCAATTTTATTAATCTTTTCAGAAAACCAACTTCTAGTCTTGTTAATATTTTCTATTTTCTAGTATTTGCCTTTCTATTTTCTGTTTCATATATTTCTGCTCAAATCTTTATTATTTCTTCTGGTGAGTGTAGGCTTTTTTTTGCTGCTGTTTTTCTAATTGTTGGAGGTCTTGGGTTAAGGTGTTTATTTTGGATCAACATTCCATTCTTTAATGTTGATTTTGATGTCAAACTTCTTTAGATTGCCCCTAGTTCCTCCACAGAATTGTTCTGTTCAAAAATATACTGCTCTCCCCGCTCCCCCAAAAAACCCTAGTGAAGAACCATAGATGTAAACACATATCTACATAGGGCCTGAGCCACACAGTGTATTGTTACACTGGGCCTTTTACTCAGGAAATTGTTAATCCATCCCTAGCCTTTCATTTTACCCACCAGCCACTCCTCAGAAGGAAGATGGGGCAATCTACTTCTGTAGTGATACTGCCTCGGAAACCCAAGGAGGGGTCGCTATGAGTCGGGTCCGACTCCACGCCACATAACAGCAACACAGCAACAGCCTTTCATTTTAAGGACTTTTCCAGCTGTGTTTAATGTGCTTTACCACATTTGTACCACCCCTACTTGAAGTTCTTTAGCTGTAAAAGGTGCTACAGGACTTACAAATTAGCAATTTAAAGAAAAGGATCTTAAAAGTAAAGGTACACTCAACTGCTAGCTATGTTGAATTTTGGATGTACTACTACTTTTTGTAAGGTCTGTGCCAGAATAAAAACTGGGGAAAAGCCTATTTGATAGTGTAGAAACTACTTACATTTTAATACTCATTTTTTTAATCCACATAGTTAGAGTAAGACCTACATGATTTGGGTTTTTTATTTACTCTGTGCAGCTTATGGGATAATGTAAGAGCTTTTTATTCATTGAGAGAATTTCTGTATTTTGCATATAATAAGCAGGCTGATTATTCAAAGTTATAAGCAAGCTTCTAAATTGATTAAACACAAAAATTGTCATTAAAAGTATTTTAATAATAGAGTATTCAGTTATTTGAACATCCTGAGATTATTTGAAATGTGTGTATAGAATAGTCTAATTTAACTGTTAAATTTCATTTTTGCCTCATAGGATTCAGAATTTGATTCTACAACAGGATTTTTAGGTAAAACTATGGGGAAACTGAAGATTTTATCCAGAGGGAGTCAAACCAAGCTGCTGTGCTATATGATGCTGTTTTCATTCTTTGTTTTTTTTGTCATTTATTGGATTATTAAACTCAGGTGATATAACTAAGTGTCATTTTAGAATTTGTTCCAACTTAATGGCTTAATGGAGTACTGCTTTGATAAAAATCAGCATCAAGACATTTCTCATGTTCAAATATTATGACTTTCTCCATTGACGATTACTGAATTCAGGGCTCCTCACTTGTTTTATAAATCACATTAGATAATATAGTGCTCTTTGAATACCATTTCTTAATGACTCATTTTTGCCCCTATTTTCAGGGGTATTGAGATGACCTGCAGTCAGTTTGATCCTAATAGTTTTTTCTATTGTTTGTCTAATTGTCATATTAATTGGCAACATAATATTCTGTTATTACTGTAAATGTAGGCTTAGTTTCCTGTAAAGAAATTTTGTGGGACAGTAACAGAATGATTGGACAACCTGATGCTGAGTTCTGACAGAGGGGAACAAATTGGTGACAGAGGTTGATAGATTTTCCTGAAGTATCACCAGTTTTCTGCCTTTATTTGTTGAAATTGAGACAGATGTCTTCTTACCTTCTTACCATAATAATTTTTCATGTAGCTCCTCTTTGCTTATTGCCCATGGACCTCATTGTTTAATAAAGCTTGTTATTGTGTCATATTTCTAGTAAGGCCCGATACATATATGTACCAGTATACTTACTGTTTTATATTAACTTTATAAATTCCAGTGACTTGATTTATAGTAGTCTTATGCTTTAGTTACTTCAGTGGGCCATTTGGTTATCATTTGTGACAAAATAATGTGAAGCTAAGTAATTGGTAAGCTTTGAATGGAAATAAAGTGTTTAAGAAAATAAATTGTCTTTGCTTTATTATGTGCTCAAAATATGTAATGAAAATACCCCAAATATATAATGAAAATACTGATCTTGGAGTTAAGAGTATTGTTGCTTTAAGCTCCTATATTTGTTTATGGGAAGCAAAGCACACAGGTGGTTTATGGAGTAGAAAGAAATATTAAAATGTTGTTAGATATTCTGTATTGATACTATTTTGGAAGGTACCTATTTATAAGCTCCAAAAATAAATTTTTTTAATGAAATATATGAATAGGCTTTATTACTTCTTTTGTTTAAGCTTCTTACTTCTGATAAAATTCAGCATACTTTGATCATATTTTAATAAAAGTAATAATTTTATAATTTCTGAAGGAAAAAAAAAAACTTCCAAAATCTTTCCAGTAATAAAAATTCTGGATTTTATCTCTTAGAAAATTTCTCATTTGTTTTCATTGTATGTTTATATTCAGTGGTTTAATAGTAAATTGCCTCTTTGGAAAAAAACAGATTTGTGGTGGTTTTTGATCAGTGTGGTTTTAATATTCCCAACATTGCTGATTTCAGGCTCCCAATATGACATCGGAGACAGAGTTGGGGAAATACATGCACAGTTGACTCTCACAAGCTGATCATGAGCTAGCTCCAGTACACCATTGGTTATACTGATGATAAATACTCTTAAAGGATACAGTAGTTACTTGTTTCTCAAATGAGAATCTTACATCTTACTAGAAAAAATTCAGGCAACAGGAAGTTAAATAAAGTAGCTTGATGGCATTGTTTCACTGATTACTCTTAGAAGATCATTTATACATTTTGAAAATCCAGCTTTTTCTCATTCTGTGGGTAAATTCTTGCTATTTATTAACCTTCCATCTTCTGGTAGTTCAAATACTGTATGTGAATCACATATATAGAAAGTAGGTACATAATATTAATGGTTTTTCCATGCTCTTCCATCCAGTTAAATGTTCAAGCAAGAGTACAGGGATCACTCTCTACATGTGATACAGCTGGTGGGATCTCAACACACATACTGGCTTCTATAGATTATCTTAGCCCAGAAGTTCAACTAACTGGGCAAAGCCTGTGTGCTCTTTTGAAGAATTTTTCACAAGCTTTTAAAGACTACATACAAACGAGATTTGCTAATTGCCAAGTCCAGATCTTAAAAAACAAAACATTAAAACAGTGAGCATCAAGATAGAAATACACACATATCTTTAATAAGAAAAATCATACATAGTCTATGGAGACTCTAAAATTCACATAGATTAATGTTTAATAGCTAAAGGATAATACAAAATGCAGGCACATTGTCCACTGCAATGTAACTCTTCTACAAAATCTATGTAACACTTCAAAAGAAAAAATGATCCAACTTTGCTAACTTTAGCAAGAGTCAGTGTTGTACGACAGGAAAGTGTTCTAGTGTTTTTACAAGAAATGCAATCATAGTGTGATTCACATGAAAGCAGACAGCTGAATCTGATTTTATTAGTATTTATGGCTTCTCTGATTGGTACAATGAATTTGGAAATGAGCGGAAAAAATAAAATACTTAGCATAACTTAAAGCAAACTGCAGAGAAAACATTAACATATAATGAAAAACTTTGTCACGTCATCAATTTGTACTTTAAAAGAATACGTAACAGTTACTCCTTTCTCCTCAATTTTATCTCATTAATAAATAGATAGAACTAGAAGCTCGTAGTTTAGTAAATTTTCTGCATTGTTAAATAGGCCACTAATTCCTAAAGAATTATCAGCTAAGGTCCCTTTCAAGGAAACTGAAGCGTAAGTGTTATTGTGAGGTAACCTGTATTTCAGGGAAGTTATTGGGATGAAATGCTTTAGTTATCTTTTAGACAGATTAAATGCCTAGTTTCTTTAAAATGTCTGCTTTTTAAAATTGTTTTTGTTTTGCATTAACTATTTAAATTACTGTTCTGGTTATCTAGTGCTGCTCTGACAATATACCACAAATGGGATGGCTGGAAGAAACAGGAGTTTATTTTCTTACAGTTCAAGAGACTAGAAGTTGGAGTTCAAAGTGCCAGGCTCTAGGGGCTGGGTGAAGGCCCCTCAACCTTGGGCTTCAGCTCTGCCCCTTGCCCCAGCCCACTGAAGCTAGCGGCATCTCTTCACTCAGGCAGCTACTGGTGCTGAGGCCAAGGTCAACAAAGAAAATGGCACAGTCCTGATGCTACCAAACCACACAGCAGTCCAGTAATTCAAGTCCATTGTAAGTCCCAAGGTTGGCAAAGCATGGCAGGCTGCTGAACAATGACACAGCTACATGTAGGTTCCAGGTGTGCCATAAGCTAGAGACCATTCGCAAAGCTTTTATTTTTTTATATATGGGAAGCAGACCACATCCCTAAAGCAGCTACTCAGCTGCTTGTCGTGGGTCCCACCATGGAGCTGATTGCCAGTCTAATCATGGGGAATAACTACCACCAGCTGCCCAGCCACTCAACCAGGCCCAGCCAAGTTGACACAAACTTAACCACCACAGTTCCACCCCTTGTTAACTTGGCACCTGTACAGATCTTCAGTGGGTGGTATCTGTACAGATCTCCTCCACTGGGTGACTCCAGTCCCCTAGTTCCTGAGTGGTGACCTCACCCCCTTGGCCTGGCAAGCCCCGTTCCTCTCCCTCCTAGGCATGGCAGCTCTGCCCCATCACTCTTGGGTAGTGGCTGTGACTCCATCCCATTAGTTCACATGAATGAGCAGCCCCCCACTCCAGAACCAAGTTGGTGAAGATACGACTCTGAAACTTAGGGGGCTCTGGTGGTTCCCTCCCCCCTGCAAAGGTCCTGGTCCTACCCTTGAGGCTGAGGCAGCTCTGCTTCCTGTTTCCTTGGTCTCTCTGCTTCTGCCAATTAATGCCCAAGGGCAACCCACTCTGCCAGAAATCTTCCCACTACAAAAGCACTCAGCTTTCTTGCTCCATGGGCCAGCCACCCTGCTACTCCATTTCATGCTTGTCTTTTCTACCAATTAATGCCCAAAGGCAACCCACTCTGTCAGGAAGCCACCTGCATGTTGTCATCCAGGTTTCTCCTCCATGGGCTGGTAAGGCTGTCACTGTCTCATGCTGGTCTCTGGACTGTTCCTGCTGTCTTTCATGCCAGTCTCTGGGATCTGCTTCTGCCATCTCTCATGCCATATGCCAGGGTCTCTCTGCCAGGATCTTGGGTCAAGGATGTACTCCATACCTGTTTCCACATTTTAAGTATCTGTCAGAGCAGCACCCCACTCCTGGTACCATATTCGTTCTGGTTACCTAGTGCTGCTCTGACAAGAATATGCCACAAATGGGATGGCTTGAAGAAACAGGAGTTTATTCTCTTACAGTTCAAGAGGCTAGAAGTCGGAGTTCAAAGTGCCAAGCTCTAGGGGAAAGCCTGGATGTGCTCTCCAAAATTACAAGGAGACCAAATGTGATATGAGTTTTATTAAAGAGATTGTGTGAAAGCCCCTCAACATTGGGCTTTAGCTCTGCCTCTTGCTCCCACCCCACTGAAGCTAGAGGCATCTCTTCACTCAGGCAGCTACTGGCTGTTGAGGCTAACAAGCCCAAGGTCAACAAAGCAAATGGCATAGTCCTGATGCTGCCAAACTACACAGCACGCTAAGTAATTCAAGTCCATTGTAAATCCCAAGGTCAGCAGAGCATGGCAGACTGCTGAACAATGACATGCCTACATGCAGGGTCCAAGCATGCCATAAGCTAGAGACTATTCCAAAAGCTGTTCCTTATGTATAGGAAGCAGACCACATCCCTAAAGCAGCTACTCAGCTGCTTGTAGTAGATCCCACCATGGAATTGATTGCCAGTCTAATCACGGGGAATAACTACCACCAGCTGGCCAGCCACACAACCAGGCACGGCCAAGTTGACACACAAACTTAACCACCACAATTACTTTTAAAAAGCAAATTGAGTTTGTTTTGTTTTCCTTCTTCTCCTCCTCCCCCCAAAAAAATTCCAAGGAGACCAAATGTGATATGAGTTTTTTTAAAGAGATTATTAGATTAAAGTTTCTCCAATTATTAATGGATTATCTAGATACTGCTCAGAACAACCAAATTTCTAGATGGTGTATGCTGGTCAGCTTCCTTAAAGTTTCTCTTTACTTTGCACTTAGTTTTCATTACTTAATAGCTTATTTTTACTTTTTAAGCTATTTCTAAAATAGTTTCTAGAATTTACACAG